ATTTTCAAATCACAAAAAAAAAAGATTGAAGGTATTGCTGAATGACGGTCTTTTGTATCTGTTTTTCCAGCTTACTTTACTAAGATTTCTGAAGCTGGGGTGGGGGGTGTGATGTGTTGTGCGTATTGACCCAGGAACAAGCACAAGATAAAATGTTTCTTAATTGAAATTCTTTCTCTTTGAAGTTTAAGCACTGATGAATTTTCATAATATTACAATTCTATATATGACCTTTTGAGGCTGCAGAAGAAAACAAGGAAGAGAAATTATGGTTTTCAGGAGGAGATCTTGATCATAGAATCACAGAATGGTTGAGGTTAGAAAGGATCTCTGAAGGTCACCTGAGCTGACCTGCTCAAGCAGAGTCACTTAGAGCCAGTTGTCCAGGCCCATGGCCAGATGACTTTTCAATATCTCCAAGGATGGAGACTCCACAGCCTCCCTGGGCAACCTGCGCCAGTGCTCGGTCACCCTCACAGTGACAAAGTGTTTCCTGATGTTCAGAGGGAACCTCCTGTGTTTGAGCTTGTGCCCGTTTTCTCTGGTCCTGTCACTGGGTGCCACTGAAAAGAGCCTGGCTCTGTCTTCTTGGCGCCATCCTTTCAGGTATTTAAGTACATTGATGAGATCCCCCTTGAACCTTCTCTTCTCCAGGCTGAACAGTCCCAGTGCTCTCAGCCTCTCCTCATAGGAGAGATGCTCTTGATCATTTTCGTGTCCCTTCACTGGACTCTTTCCAGTATGCCTATGTCTCTGTTGTACAGAGAAGCCCAGAACTGGACACAGTACTCAAGGTGTGGCCTCACCAGTGCAGGGTAGAGGAGAAGGATCCTCTCCCTTGGCCTGCTGGCAATACTTTGCCTAATGCAGCCCAGGATACCCCTAGCTCTCTTTCCTGCAAGGGCTCATTTCTGGCTCATATTCAACTTGGTGTCCACCCGGACTCTCAGGTGCTTTTCTGCCAAGTTGCTTTCCAGCTGGGTGGCCCCCAGCATGTGCTGTGCCTGGGCTTGTTCATCTCCAGGTGCAGGATTTTGCAGTTCTTGTTGAACTTGAGGTTCCTACCAGCCCATTTCTCCAGCCTGTCAAGGTCCCTCTGGATGGCATCGTGACCCTCTGGCAAATAAGCCACTCCTCCCAGTTTTATGTCATCTGCAAACTTGCTGAGCGTACACTCTGCCTCATCATCCAGGTCATTAATGAAGATGTTGAACAGGACTGGACCCAGTATTGATCCCTGGGGTATACTGGTAGTTACTGGTCTCCAATTAGACTTTGAGCCACTGATCACTACCCTCTGGGCCTGGCCATTCAGGCAGTTTTCAGTCCACTTCACTATCTGTACATCCAGCCCGTACATCAACTGCTTCTCTATAAGGATCTAATGGGAGACTGTGTCAAAGGCCTTACTAAAGTCCAGGCCTTTGACACTGTCTCCCATAAGATCCTCATTATGGGTCCTTCATTGTTTCTCTTTTGCTGGGTGCTTTTACCATCTTTGACAGTCCATATGACATGCTGAAACATTCCTGGCATCTGAGACTTGGGATGTCACAAGAAGACAAGTCTGTTTCTGCACAGCTTTGAATGTGTGCCTATTGAATGGCATTCGATTATCAGGTTTTTTTGCTAGACCATTTCTCCAGTTTGTTAATGGAATTCTAACTTCTCCTTAATATGCTTCCTGGCCATTGCAGCCTGGCAGCACCTCTGGACTTAATCAACATATTTCTTATTCCATCATCCAAACTTTCAAAATTATCTGTTAGAGCCAGATGAAGGCAAGACCCAATCCAGAATATATCTTTCCATTTTTCACAATGAGCTAGACTCTTAGTGTAATTTTCCAGCTGTTATCTGTACCCATTCTATAATAATTACATGCAGCCCAGTTTTTTTCTGGTGTATTTCACAGTCTCCAGTCGTATTCTCATGCGTTCGCAAAGTCAAGGTATAGGATGTTTACAGGTTTGCTTTCATTGGGAAGGCCTTTTTTTTTTTATGTCCAAGTCAGAAATTATAGTTAGTTTGATATAAATGGCTGAAATATGTCTTTGGCAAACAATTAATCATATCCTTTTATGTTTTAGAGGGTGATGTAGAAAACATTTTGTCTTAAGTGGATTTTTTTTCTGAGTAATTTTGACCAGTCAGCTTAGCTTTATTTCTTTGGCTTATCCTTTTGTATCTCTTTTCCCCTTTAAAAGTAGGCATGTAGGTATTGTTTTGTTTTGTTTTATTTCAAGCTTCTGGATTCTCATGTTTTTTTCATGATTTCTCAGAGGTAACAGTTGAAATTACTCTGGGTTGTATAGGACCTGTTGGAGTAAATTTAATCAATTGTAATTTAAAACAGATTAACTTCTATAAATTCTGTGTCTTCTAGTTCACTATTTTTGCTTTTGTTCTTGCTCCCTTTCTGCTGGTGTTGTGCTTGCCATCTGATTGCAGCTGACCTCTTTGTGAAGAAATGAAGCAAAAAGTCACAGAATACTTGTTTTCTTGGCATTGTCCATTTTCTCACTGAGTATTGAAATAATTCCTTCCTTGCTGCTCTTCTTACTAATATATCTGTGGAATTGTGGCTTTTGTTCTTTACATACATACCTTTTTTCATTTTGTGATGTGACCTTTCTGAGTTTGTTTGTGTATGAGTGTGCTGCTATTGTACTTGTCCTTGATAATTTGACCTAGTTCCTTTTTTCCTACTACTTCTTACGTTTCGAATCATCAAAGCATTTGTGAATCGCCAGCTGGTCTCTTACTATATATACTTCCCGCTATCTTCCATGTTTGTATTTGTGTACTGAATACTGCTTCTCTGAGAAGTGCTTAGGTGTCCTGACTTCTTTCCACCAGAATTTGATTCTGGGAAGAAGAAATCTCTCAGTTGAAGAAAGTATACTTTAGTAAATTCAGTGAAGTCCATTTACTTTGTTCACTGTTCTTCCTTTTACACTACTAAGAATGACTGATTGTCATTTTGTGAACACAGTCAATTGTTTTGCCTTCTATCTTTGCATTCTCTCAGCTAGGTTATTTCTACATTTAAAAAAAAAACAAACTAAAAGTGAATTTCAAGAACTGGCTGAACAGTCTGTTGTATTGCAGAGTCTGAAGAGTTGAAGAGCACCTTCAAGGGATGCATTTAGGACAGATGCCTTTTATTCTTAGCAATACTCTTAGAACGAATTTTGAAGTCCCTTTCTCCATGAATTGCAACCCTCAGTTGTTCTTCTGTATAATTGATGTGAGTTGGAGTTTGCTCATTGCATTTTTTTTTTGTTGCAATGTTTCTTTAGTTTAGTAATTATGTATTTTGTATTTCCATGTTTTGTTTTGGTATTGTTGAGGTGTGTATGACTTCTTTTCTTCAGAAGGCCTTCTTTTAACTTTATAACATCTGCACCTTTGATGTTAAGTCTTACCTCACCTGTGAGGACATAATTTGGAGTGGAGGGAGAAGGAACAAATGCCTACTAGGTATTGCAATGATGAATCTCAAACATCTTAATATCCACTCTGTTGAAGCTTTAAGTTTTAGGTAAGAAAGGAGTGCTAGAAGCAACTTCAAAATGTGTTCTTCTACATGTTTTTATGAAAACTTATGCTCTCTGCCACAAAAGAAGTACTCTGCTTCAAAATGAGAGAGGAGGCTAATGTCAGCAGATCCTTTTCACACTTATGGTTTGTATCTGACCCAACAACGTCTGAGCTAGTACACTAGTTTCCCTTTACAATCAGTGAAGGGAGAGAGCTACTTTTCTGAAAGGTGGACAACTGCATTTAATTAGGTAACTGAATCCCTAAAGGTGTCCCCTTCTCTCAACCAGTTAGAAAGGAAGCCTAGTGTACTAGCTCAGGTGTAGGTGCCTACTTCAGGTGAAATTAATCCTAATTCTGCCGTTTACCCTTTCCGTAGGCCATTACTGCAGTTCTGTTTAAGTACTGAGGGTCAAACCTGCATTAGCAGTAGGGAAGAATTGCTCTAAAGATCAAGGAAAGTAAGAAAGGGATTCAGTCAATGAATGTAGAGTTCAACTTTGTTTTTCCACGTGCCAAGTCAAAGATTGATTCTTGTGATGCCTGTAGAGCCCATGTTGCTTGAATCAAGAAACTGCCTCTGAATGAACTGAGTGCTTCCCTCTGTTGCTTGCACCTGTGGAGTAGAGGTTGTGACAGATATGTTTTTATGTGAAGTACCCATGTACTCTGTGTGTGATAGTACCTTGGCTGAAGTAGGGCTTATTGTTACATTAATCTCAGAAATGCCTGCTTGTAGTACCCAAAATCAGCTACATGGCGCAGTCTTTAAAGACTCTTTCTTTGAGTAGAAGCTGTAGTTACTCTTGATCTCTTAACCCCAGAGCTCCTCACCCTGCTGTAAAACTGCTTCCTGAGTGCAAGAACTAACTGCTTCTCTGCTCAGATGCTGAAATTTTTGAGCTCCATGGCATTCCATTGCAGTGCTAATGAAAGGACATGAGGTACTTGCTAAATGCAGCAGCCCTGGAGAAGCAGCTCATTGTGCCTTTGTAGATTAGACTACAGTTAAAACAGTTTGCGTGTGTGACACTTCATGTGTAACCATTAGAAAGAATTTCTTGTTCTTGTAGCTTGGAAGAAAGTGGCCAGTAATGATGGAGCTCTAGCTAAGGATGATAAATGTGCCTAAATATTGGGAATTAACCTTTGCAGATGATGAATTGTGGAAACTATGTGAAGCTTCTGCCATTCTAATTAGTCTGGCTAAAACCTCTAGCAAACAGGGAGATTTCTAATGACTCTGAGAATAGAAAATGACTGCAATAAAGAGAGAAATGCCAGCATATTGCAGGAGGTGCCCTATGCTTTTTAAGTCTGCGTATCCAGATCTGGACCGATAGAAAAGATTGTGAGATTAAATGCTGTATGTTTTTAAAATTCTAATTTTAGTTTAGATTTCTAACTTTACTTTTAAAGGTATAAACCTAATGTTATGGCATGCTTTATTTTGACAGATAAGGAAGGACATAATTTTTCTGTATTCTGGGTGCTGGTGAGTGTTATGCTAGGTGCAATAGCCATGCTGTGCAAAGAACAAGGAATTACAATACTGGTAAGAATCCTTTTATTGACTGAATTTTGACCTCAGCATCTGTCAGGTACAGTTGTAAAGCCTACAGAGATGAATATTCTCCACAGCTAATCGCATGCACACCTTTTTGTTCTTTTCAGAAAACTAGTTAATGTTGACAAACAGCAGTATTCTAGTAGATCTGTCTTGATTGTGTCCCTGCCAATCTGTTAGAATTCTTCATTTTATCTTTTGTAAACAGGTTGCATATATCTGTTAATTTCTTGAAAAAATTAAAAGATTTACAGTGTTAGTTTAATGTGTGTGATGTTCGTTGGCCTTGTTTTTCAATGTAATTGTCAAGATAGCAGGCCTACAAACCTGATGTTGAAGGCTTACGAACAAAGACATAACTGGAGTAGAGCATTTTTAAAAGCTTCACCCTCTTGCTTTTGTGCACAGTGTAATTAGAAGTAAGGCCATTGTTTATGCATTTCTAATGCTGAATCTCTTCCTTCTGTCCCTTATTTAAGGATCTGTCAATGCAAACAGATATAGTTACTGTTCACGTTCATTGTGCTCTTGCTTTTTATTACTTCAGTGAAGACATTCTGTTTTGGGTGACCAAATCAGCAACCTGAAATGCTATGTCTGTGATTTTTGCCTTTTATATAGCCATATATCTTTATAAATAAATCCAATTTGTAGCTTTAACTGACATAGATAAAACAACAGAATCAGAAGAATTCTTTGCAGCAAGGACCCTCTTGTCCTTGCTAGAAAAAAAGGGGAGAAGAAATCACAGAAAACTTCTTGCTTTAGGGCATTATTTTTGGATAGATGTTTGTAGAATGATGTATTTTTCAAAGGCGTCTGTAAGGAAAACATAAGGAATTCTCTTAAAACATGATGTGATTACTTCCTTTAGTGGTATGAAGTAATTATTTGATCCAGCAGCGAGAATTGTTATTGGATCTGGGTTTTTTATTTGTTTGCTGTTGCATTGCTAGGACAATTGTATTTATTGTTGTGCTGAGGGACACAGGTCAGAGGGATGAAGGGATTTTCAGCGGGATTCTTGCCTTCCTATCTCCATGCAAGTGAGCCAAAAGCCTTTTGACTGCCAGGTGGCCTTTCTACATGGAACTACGCCACTCTCTAACCTATCTTCGGTCTTCTCCCTTCGACTGTCAGAAAGAGACTTGTGGCCTCCCAGTGTCATAACTCTTTGCCTCACCTGGAACTATTTTTACTGTCTTTTTTCCATTTAGCTTTTAGAGCATTGAGGTAATTTCCGACGTTCTTAGGATATAGGTTAAATATTCAAGGATTGTCATGGTTGGTGATTGCTGAAACATTGAAGGGAAAATGTTAAAGATGGATTTTGCTGGTCACCTCAACAGAATTACCCCGGATATATTTTGGTTGCTTGCTTGGGGGTAGTATGTGCAAGTGTAGTCCTGCAAAGCACTGCATATGCTCTAGTGTTATGTGTGGTGGCTAATGTCACATAGAACTTTTGATTTTTTTTTTTTTTCAGCAACTTCCGCTGTGTATATTGGTGTAATTGCAAGAAAAGCAAGCCCAATACCTCTGTTAAATCTTTCTGAGCCTTTGTTTGTTGTGGCAATTTATGTACCCTTTAGAAATAGTATTTCTGAAACCTGACAGTCAAAAGATACCATGCTGCACAGCAAAAAATAAGTAGAAGGCTTAAAGAAACTCCACCTTACTGACAGAAGCCTTACCTTTTGACCGCAGCATTTACGCTGCAGAACATTTGGGAAAGAAGATGGAGAGCAGAATACTGTTGTGACCATGCATACGGGGTCTAGCTTGCTGGTACATGGTATTCCCTGAAGGGTTATTCCATGTAGCAGGAGAATCCCCCATGACAGTAACATGATATGCTACTCATCTGAGTTCAGGTTGTCAATTTACCATTCTGCCATCATGACTACCAATATATCTCTCTACTTGTTTGAAATCAGTATTAAGATGTACAATAACTCATGGTAAAAGTGGAATTTAAGAAGTATTTAAAAAAAAATTTGTGCTTAACTGCTCCATCTTATGCTCTTATTTTTCTCTTGGTTGCTTAGGGTTTGAATGCAGTGTTTGATGCACTGGTGATTAACAAGCTAAATGTTTTGGAGCTTATTCAAAAGTTACTACATAAGGACAAGTCATTGGAGGTGAGTCCTCAGAGGTTTTGTTCATTCCGGCCGTTCAGACAGTCATGTACTAAAAGACAAAGATGCAATTTCTGACAGTTTTGTTGTTGTTCAGAATTAAAAAAAATAGAGCTATTTTCAGTCAGCTTAGTAAGACAATGTGCTATGACATCTTTGCAGCAACATGAATAGTAATGGGATAGCATTAGAATTGCATTGCATAGTGAAATCCATTCCACGCTTCTCTCAACAGTATGTTAAAAATATGTCATGGAAGAGCTGACTGCTTGATGCAACAAGTTCTCCAGGGTCAGTAGCTAAACACCTGAAATGGCTGTTTAACACAGTTTGGTCAGAGCGAAGAGAGAGGTATTTATTCAGATTCTCAAACGAGATAGTTAGACATTTGAAAAAGTACATTAAAAAAAATATTACGTCTACTTTGCCAATCCCACTAAAGTATTACACTGTTTTTTTCAGAATACAAATTACGAAACAGGGCACAGTTCCTAGTAGCTTGGGAGTTTAAAAGAAAAAATATGTAAGCACTGGTAGTCGCCAAGGATCAAATTTCTGACTTTTGTTGGTATCACTTCATCTAGTATTGGCTCAAGTGGAATTGGGCACCTAGTATTTGCACTGGCAAGCAAATCACACAGTCAGCCTCAAGTGAATGATTGATAGCAGCCAAATAGACCAACAGCCTACTAGAACAACACTGCTGTTCAACAGCTAAATCATTTGCCTCTCCCATCCAAAGTTCAGCAAGGCGAGGGAATATTCATTGTACTTTGCATTGATGGTTTCACTGCAGAGGAGTCTTCCTGATGTTTCTGAGTAGCACAAGTCTTATGGGGCTTTTAAATTCCTTTGCAAAAAGTGAAGTGAGGAACTTTGGGGGAAGTCAGTAAAAGTGGAATCTCTAGAACTGAAACAGTAGATTTGACCAAGAACGGCTAAGTGAGAGGTGCAGGAGTATTTCAGGCAGCAAATAGAAATGCTGGAGAATTTTGTGGTATAATGAGAGTAGTGTCAACCAGCATGACACGGAAAGAGTCTAGAGCTGTAGGGGACTAAAGCAGAGCCAGTTCAGAATTACAGTCATGGAAATAAAAGGTAATAAGGAGGACCCTAGGAACTACTGACCAGCCAGCCTCACATCAGTGCCTTTGAAGATCATGGAACAGATCCTCCTGGAAGTTATGTCAAAACATATGAAAGAGAGGGAGGTGATTAGAGACAGCCAGCATGGCTTCACCAAGAGCAGATTGTGCCTGACTAATCTAGTGGCCTTCTACGATGGAGTGACGGCATCAGTGTACAAAAGAAGAGCTACTGATGTCATCTACGTGGATTTCTGTAAGGCCTTTGATACAGTCCCCCACAACATTCTTGCTGCTAAAATGGAGAGAGATGGGTTTGACTGATGGACTGTTAGATGGATGAGGAATTGGCTGGATGGCTGCATCCAAAGAATTACAGTCAAAAGCTCAATGTCCAAGTGGAAACCATACAAGTGGTGTCCCTCAAGGGTCCATACTTGGACCAATACTATTTAATATCTTCATCAATGACATAGATAGACCCTCAACAAGTTTGCAGATGGCACCAAGCTGAGAGCTGATACTCGTGAGGGAAGGGATGCCATCCAGAGGGACCGTGGCAAGCTTGAGAAGTGTGCCCTTGTGAACCTCATGAAGTTCAACAAGGCCACATGCAAGGTCCTGCACCTGGGTCAGGACAGTCCCCAATATCAGTACAGACTGGGGGATGAATGGATTGAGAGCAGCCCTGTGGAGAAGGACTTGGGAATACTGGTGGATGAAAAACTGGATATGAGCCTGCAACGTGTATGTGAATGTGCCTGCGAATCATATCCTGGGCTGCATAAAAAGAAGTGTGGCTGGCAGGTCAAGGGGGGGGATTCTTTTCCTGCTCTGGTGGGACCCCACCTGGAGTACTGCATCCAGCTCTGGGGTGGATGAAAGACATGGACCTGTTAGAGCGGGTCCAGGGGAGGGAGACAAAATGATCAGAGGGCTGAAACACCAATCCTGTGAAGAAAGGCTGAGAGAGCTGGGGTTGTTTAGCCTAGAGAAGAGAAGGCTCTGGGGAGACCTTATTGTGGCCTTTCAGTACTTAAAGGGGGCTTATAAGAAAGATGGAGAGAGACTTTTTACCAAAGCCTGTAGTGACAGGACAAGGGGCAATGGTTTTAAACTGAAAGAGGGTAGATTTAGACTGGACACAAGGAAGAAATTTTTTATGATGAGGGTGGTGAGACACTGGAACAGGTTGCCCTGTGAAGTTGTGGATGCCCCATTATTAGAAGTGTTAAAGGTCAGGTTGGACGGGCCTTTGAGCAACCTGATCTAGTGAAAGATGTCCCTGCCCATGGCCGGGGCGGTTGGACTAGATGATCTTGGAAGGTCCCTTCCAACCCAAGGCATTCTATGATCCTGTGAAATGTGTCAGAGTCAAACATTTTTGGAGGATTACTCTTTAAGCATGAAGAGCTTCCGTTTTGTGACTTTTAAACAGTTCTGCCTGGGTGAAGAAAACATCAAATGTGCCTTTTTTTTCTTCTTCTTTTAATAGAAGTAATTAACTTTAGCTCCCACCACCTACAAAAATCTGTTCTGCTCTTTTCATGGAAGTGTTTCTAAGAATGTTTTGTTTCGTTTTGTTTTGTTTTGTTGAAAGGCAGATCTTGAATTCTCTTACTTGCAGACTTTTTTTCTTCTCAATTGATACAGGTTTCAGTTTCATGCCAGATTTCAGTTAACTCTAAATCAAAGACAATACAATAATACTTCTTCCACTTTTAAAATTCTGCCTACTAAGAGATTTTGTGGTCATTTGTGAAATCTGGCCTTTAAGGCATGTACTGTTAAATGAAATGAAGCCTGGGATGAGAGGTTTTGTGTAGTTACTCTGTCATAAAGCAGTTATAAATTGTCACTATATGGTTTTCCTTCATAGCACAGTTCTCTTCCAAAAACAGTTTTTAGGAACAGTTTTCCTGTAATCCTCATTGTAGTGACTTTGGTTACTGAGATGTGTAAATTGGGAGTAACCATTTGAGCACAAGGGCTAAGTTATGTATAATCAACATTACAAACTTCTTTATCCTTTGGCATTCAGCTAAGTATTGTATAATGACTCTGTTGTCAACTACAAATATTAAAAACCCATCTGAATATTGCTTTTAAACTTAACTTTTCTATCATTTTAGAGAATAAATATCTTCAGCCAGGGCACTGTTGGATGTCTGTCTTTGTGCAGTAAGCCTACTTTTTTTTTTAAGTCTTCAGAAGTAACTAATATTGATCTCCTAAATAATTATGGTGGTGCTTGCTAATCAGCATATTACAATAATAGATAATAATAAGCAGTGTGCCAGCTCCCATGGAGGACAGAGAACTGATCATGTATGACTAGCAGGTAGGTTTTTAAAGGTAATAGAAGCATATCGGACTAAGGGAGGAAGGTAGGAATAAGGGAAAACTAATACTGGAGATCACATGACCATATTTTTTAGGATCCAGTCAACTCTTCCATGTAAAAATCCCAGGTTTACCGATACTTTAATCTTCAGGTGTGTAGAATGGAAAGGGAAGTTGCCCAAATGATCTCTCATTTCAGAGAAACTCTCATCTTCCATCTTCTGCTTCTCTAATGATTTGTTAGGCTGTGTGGAATAATTTGAGCCATCAGGTTTCAGACAGCTCTAAGGCAGCCCATCATTTCCTATCTGAGTTACCATTTGCTAGCTGGGTAGGGTGTTGGAAGCTTGGATTTACATCTCGAAGCTGTGACAGGGATATCATTATAGTTACTGATGATTCTGTTTCCAGTCTCTACTGGTGAAACCTGAAGAAACTCTACAGTACACAGTGTTTTTCTTTTCATTTATAAAACTGATGTGTGCTTGGAGAAAATGTGTTACACTTCACGGGAGGAAAAAATGGGAAAGTGTGTCAGATTTAGCTTCTATGACATCACTTTTCTATGTTTTATGTGAATTGCCTTCTTTAGACCCTAAAGTGTGTATTATAAAATATGTGATGCAAATCAACTGAGTTAATGTAGATAAAACGCAATTTTTTGTAGATCTTGGGTAATTTTAGCCTGACCAAAGTGTTTTGGGTGCCTGTCTGTCATTAGCTTTTTAATCATGCTAGTGAATGTGAAAATTTTAGTTCAGTTTCTCATTCCTCCCAGTTTCTAACTATGCAGTTTTCTTGTTGTATGCAGTCATGTAATTTTACCTCCAAAGAGACTTAAGTGGACAAAACTTTCAGTGATAAGTGGTCAACTAGATATATCTATTGAAAACAAAGTTCACAAAGTAACCGTCCTCCATTTTAAAAAGAAAAGATAGATCAATTTAATATGCCATATACTAAAGGCTGTATTCTGCTCAAATTCCCTATCAGAAATTGCTGTGTAAAATTACATCAGCTATAGAGTTACTAAGGATTTGTAGAAGAGAGACTTCTTAAATAAAAACATTTTCTGATTGAGAAGGAAATTAAAATGTTTGCAAAAAATATTTTGCAGTTAGTCAATGAAAGCATAGTAACGTTTGAGAGCTTCCTAGTAACTGCAAAAATAGAAAAATGTCAACTCTAATAGCAAAAATGCACAGGAATAGGCTCTTCTTTCTGAGATGGTGGCGAAAAGGATGTTGATGTAGTGGGGAAGAGAACAAAATAATGGTTTTATATGAGTCTTTTTTTTCTCTTTCTTTCCTGTAGAATGCTGGGCTGTTAAGAAAGGGGCTGCTTTTCAGGATAACTCTTCTGATGTCTGGAGGGGCCAGTATACTTTATATACGCTGGAGGATTATGGGCACAGGGCCACCGGCTTTCACTGAAGTAGACAACCCGGCTTCATTTGCAGACAGTTTGTTTGTGAGAGTAAGTTATGAAGTTGTTTTTTCTGGCGAGCTTAGAACATTTGTCTTTGTCATCAAATTGAGTTTATTTTCTGTTCTTCAAAGAAACAATAAAGTGGGCAGTCTTTACGTTTCAAGACGCATGATGAGTCACCTTCCCTTGTGCTGCTGTGATGATTTTCTGCAAGTTTTTAAAATAGTATGCCTTGTATATTCTTTGCATTCAGTTTAGCATGCACCGCACACATTGAAGTACATTTCCATTTACTCACTACTTCTCCCATGCATGCAAGGATTTAGTTTTTGCTGGGTTTCATCCCTTTTCCATATACTGTGTTTGACTCTTCATCTGTTCTTTCACAATTGAAGAAAATAGCATAAAGTTCTGGTCTGGTGCATTTGGAGTATGTCTTGGCTTTATACTTCTGACTGTATTAAGACTCTTTCTGGAGGTGGAGAATGAAGGGCAAAGACAGTGGGTGCCGTCTTTGACATTTTCTCCTGTTGTAGAAGATCCTTTTTTTTACACGTGGATAGTGGTTGGGCAGCACAGAATTTAATTTCCCTGCTCTGAATAGGAGAGCCACCTAGCTATGTTTAAAAAAAATTAAAAATTAATTTTCACAGCTGTAAAATAAATGGATATGTAACTAGCTGTAGTCTAACAGTATTTAAGGCCTCTTTATTGTATGAGATATATTTTGTGGTAAGGGAAATGATAGCAGAGAGAAGAACTAAAGTTGTGTGTCCTCCCCTTAAGTTTAGTATCAAATAGATGTTTGTTTTCTTTTTGACTGACAGGCTATAAACTATAATTACTACTATTCGTTGAATGCATGGTTGCTGTTGTGTCCCTGGTGGCTGTGTTTTGATTGGTCAATGGGCTGCATACCCCTCATTAAATCCATCGGTGACTGGAGGATAATTGCACTAGCAGCACTTTGGTTCTGCCTAATTGGTCTGATATGCCAAGCTCTGTGCTCAGAAGACAGCCATAAGAGAAGGTAAGAGACAGTGATGAATTTTAAATGCTCAGCCAACTTGAGTACAGTATTATTTTGTTAAATCCACTACTGATACTTTAAACAATTCAGTGGAACCAGTGTCTAGCAAATGCCGTTCAAATAAATATTTATAGCTGTCATTACAGTTTTATCCCAATTTGGGCCCATCACTGTACACTGACTAGTGGGAAACAGAGGTGGAGGAGGAGGTATGGATGGCTGCTTTATTTTTCTCCTGAAATGGCATTTTGAGATCCTTAACACTGTAGGTGGTAAAAAGTAATCTGTGCTCAGAACAGAGTAGGAATTGATGTATGTTGTTGCCCCTACTTCTTACAAGTCATCGTCTCCTTTGATCTTCTCCTAAAAATGAGAGAGAGGAGAGGTACCTTGAAAGGAGGTAGAAGTGCTGGCCATGGCCATACCATTAAAAAATAAAATGCTGTCCCATAGTATCTACTGAAGAAACAATTTGTACTTTACCCAAAGGAACTAAAAAAATTTATTATTAACTATTCTGTCTCACTAAGGGCTTCTACTTAACTTTTCAGGGTCTGTTCCCATGGATTTTGTGTATAATTAATTTCTCAGTTCTTTAAAATTTTTCAACAACTCAATCGCAACAAGGTCATTCTATTGTTCAGAGTGCTGAATATTTTCTTCCCTGTGATATTCTCTAATTTCATTTCTTCCCTCTCGTCCCCTCAAATGTTAACATGCCACCTGCCTTCCTTTCCTCTGTTCCCGTACTCATTTGCACAGATAAAATAATTTTGGAGAGGGAAGGAATTCTTGCTACAAGTGATGTCATACTTTCTAGTAAAAACACACACTAAGCCTATATTGCTGAACAGTTTTTAGTAAAAAGTAAAGACAAAAAGTATAGTGAATGCCTAGGACTCTTGGGGATGAGAAAAGAATAAAAGGACACATCTACATTACAGTATGGAGAATTATTTGTAATAAATTAGAGTAGAAAACTACCATGCCTGTGGCCTTTATAAGAAATATGTGGCACAGACCTGGGATTCATATTCCCTTATGTCAGCTCTGTAAAAGTAAGGTACGTAGTCTCAGTTTTCTAAGCTCTGTATAGTCCATAGGTACCTGCTGAGGATTACTCATCCTAAAATAGATACCTAAACCAAGGAAGACAAATTGCACTCAAGTGCCTCTCTCTGCTGACTGTAGAAGAAGTGTAGATGGCTAACTTTCAACTGGTTAAGCACAATGGATTCTACTATTGATGTATTTGTTAGGAAAGAAAATGCTCTCTCAGTAGGACATGTACCCAAGTTTCTTCTTCAACAGTGACCTGTATTTTTGCCATTACTGACTTAGTAGTTCCAAAAACAGGCAGGTAGCTTTTACCATTACTCTTCCTGCCTGTGTATTTTAAATATATATTATGTAATTAATGTGTTTCTGGCTTGGGAGCGTGAACATTGCTTTTCTGGGAATTATAGCCAGGATTTTAAAAGGGCCTGATGGAGTGACATGTCAAAACCTCACTGAAACTTAATTTGATTTTGTTATGTAGCTCCCAAAGGCTGCTTTTGAATGCCCAGTTCCGTATGCACATCCTTCTACAATGTTTAAATAAAGTTTATAAGTGGAAAAGGTACTTTTTGTTAAGATTTGTGGTTAATTTGAGAATCTGTTTCTTGTTTGCAGAATTCTTACACTGGGACTCGGATTTCTTATTATCCCTTTTCTTCCTGCAAGTAACCTGTTCTTCCGAGTAGGATTTGTTGTTGCAGAGAGAGTCATCTACCTCCCCAGTATTGGATATTGTATTCTCTTTACATACGGATTTAGTCTCTTGAGTAAGCAAGCCAAGAAAAAGGTACTATCAAAACAGTTGGTAAAGTTGATGATGAAGTGCTTCAACTGAATGGTTTTTTTATTAACTTGTCTCTCTTTCCTTAAGAAAATTCTTGCTGTGGCAGTACTTGGAATCTTGTTGATAAATGTTATGCGCTGTGCACTCCGCAGCAGTCAGTGGAGGTCAGAAGAACAGCTTTTTAGGAGTGCACTGTCTGTGTGCCCTCTGAATGCAAAAGTAAGTCATTCATGTGGACTTCTAATGTTTTGTTTTTTTTTTTTTTTAAGTGTTTTTTAAGTGTTTTGAAATTTGGGCTAGAGGAGGTGTTATGCATAGTTAATATACTGTGGTACAGTGTTATTCACAGTCTTGCTTGGTGCAAGAATATGACACTGACATGCCAGACACCTAAATTACAGTGGTAGTATAGTCAAAATACCAGACAGTGCAAATTACAATATTGTAATTCAGAAGTTGGGAGTGGGAGTGGGGAGGGGAGGAAGAAGGGGGAATACACTTCAGGAAAGGCATCCAGTCAAATTGGATGTACTGCTAATAAAATCTACTAAAACAATTATGCGTATAATTGCAAGTTATTACAATAAAATATCAAAAAGAAAAAAAGTAATTTGTAGCAATGTATTCACCTGAATAATGCCTATGCTATGTTTTTAGAATCCTTTTTTTGTACCTTCCAGTGGTATATATATAGCCAACACAGCTAAGGGACAAAGCAGCATATCATCAGTGTAATTGCAGGATGTGGGGGTAAAATCTTTGCTTCCACTTCTGATCTGTTTCAGTGGCTGAATGGGCTAGAGTCTTCAGACACGGGCACTGAGGAAAACTGCAATATTCCCTGCAAGGCTTAGTGAGGGAACAAGTAAGAGGGTGGGACTGGAAGGGATGTTTCACTGAGCTGAACACCAGTGTTTGGCATGGTAGACTGAATCTAGCCTGCCAGTGGAGGGGACCTCCACAGCAGTCCTTTGATAGCTGAGAGTGTGATCTGTTGGAGCATACCACAGAGCCCTGATGTTGTCTGAATTTTAGTAGAGACTCTTTGAAGAGCCTAGGAATAGGAATGCGCAGCTTGTCAATAAAAATACATAGATGTTTTAAAAGATTAGATTTCTGTAATCTAGAGTGGTATCTAGACAATACAGATCAAGACAGAGTTTAGAAAGGAACCCGTGAATGCTCAACTTTGCAAAGAGAATGATAAACGTAGCATCTACTGGAATACAAATATGCTGCAGTGAGCTGTAAAAAGCATTTATGGCCAATATGTACTACATGGTGGTGTCTTTTAATAATCTCGGATTTCAATACATAGACAAAGAGCCGTTGAATTTTATTGTGTGGCAGTGATAGGCAACCATCTTCTTTTTAATGATGACCTCAGTATATCTTGTCTTCTGGATGACAAGCACATACTATAAATGGAGCACATGCAATCTGTTTCTTTGTGTGTAACTCCATCCATCTGCCATGGTAAGAGTGCTTTAGACAGATCCACACTCTCTTTGCTTGTGCTCCAAGCTCTTTGGACACAAGCCATGTCTGGCTGGGAAGCTGTGTAGCTGTGTTCGCAAAGCGCTGTGCTTGAGCCGATAAGCTGTGTGCAAGCTACTGAACTAATGCAGCTGGTTCAAAGCCAATGAGTGTACAGGGAAAATGAGCTTGTGTTTGTCAACACTGGGCCATGTAGCCATGCCTGAGCTAGTATTGCTGCTAGTGACAGCTTGCACAAATAGAGAAAGCATGGTGATGTGAACAAGGAGGGTTTTGTAAGCTCATGTTCCAATTTTACCGAAGGAATAACTTTGAAATCACAGTAGTAGGGCACTTTTCTAGGCAACAGCATTAGAGAGTCCATGTGTGAGAGCCAATTTCTTTTTTTCTTTATGGACTCAGCTATATTTATTCAATTTTGACAAAGGTAAATGTAAAAATTGGAACTGGGTTCTCTTCTGATCTTATGTTGTTGTCTTGAAATTGCAGACTTCCTTTAAAAATGACTCCATAGGACTGTTTCAGGGGGAGGCTGATGCAGACCAAAAGGTGTAACGCAGATAATAGCTTTTTCTTGTTGTTCTTGGAACATCTTTAATATGTGTAATGTGGTCATGCTTTACTGCCCTTATGTAGCAAGGTCCCAGAATCTCCAGGTGTCTCCCAACTAGCAATAAAAGCTGCAGCTCCTAGTTCATGTTTTTGTGGTACAGTTCTTTTCAATTCCAAATTGTCTGTATGTGAGCAGTGTAGACTAAACTTACCTTAATTCTAAGTAACAAGTAGTTACAGCAGTCCCTTCTCTAATTTCAATACTCATCTTCTTTAAACATCTCTTTAGATAGAGGTGTAGAAACTGCATTAAATCAGATTGTCTGGCATAATAGAGAATCTATCCCCTTGAGAGGTGGAAGCATCTGGCTCAAGAGGATGACATTTAGGATCAACTTTGATAAATGTGGCCCAATGATTTTAAAATTTATTGGAAATCATCAGGTACCATAATGAAGTTACAAAGATTTTGACTTCTTTTTAAAGTTCACAATACAGATTTTTAAATGTCTTAAATATTTTAAATTTTATTTTAAATGTTATTTACTTTAAATATTTAAAATATTTTAAATATATATGTTATGCATATATATATTCTTTTTTTTTTTTTTTTTTAAAGAGAGAGAAAGAAGCATGTTACAGATCTTGATTAAGCACGTCCAGGAGTATGTCACACATTTGAACTTGCATGGTCCTGCACTTAAGTTGGTTTCAAAGGTTGTTAGACTGAAGCAGTATACAGTTTTAATACATTTGGCAGTATTTTTCTTGGCTGAACAGAAGGTGCCTGTACATTGATTCCATTTCCTGTTACCACCTTTTTTCATACCGTATAGATTGACTTAATTCCTGTATACACTAGTGTGACTTAGAGCCAGGCCTGGGTTGTTTCTACTAAAGCAAATTTTGTGAACAGTTATGGATACTGTTATCTCCTAATGTGTTGATTATATGTTAGAAGTAGTTTATAAATTTGGAATATTTCAGTGATACTGACTTAAAAGGCTGACTGGATCCAATTTGGCACCTCTTCATGTGATGTCATTATGTTGCAAGTTAATCCTGGAGTGCTTTGTTGAAGTATTGGAATATCTAATTACAGGCTATGATAAAAGCATAACTACTGTTTCACCATATCAGTCTACTGGCTTGGATTTATCTCCTTAGCTTTAGACATCTACATCTGAGTGAGTTAGCCAGGCTCCCTTTATAACTGGGAAGGAGAAGCTGTCCCTTTTAGCACTTGGTTCATCATCACCTCCGACTAAATGACTGACATAGGCCAGAAGGACTGCACCCTAGATCTGTGCGTTTCGCTCCACTGATCATAAAAGAAGACCTGACAACTAGAGCAGATGTGGATACATAAGGTTATGTGAGATTTTGCCCTTGCGCTATTGGTGTTCGCTATTTCTAGACATTGCTGTATCGCTCCTCACCTTCTTCAGGTCATTACACATTGTTTCTTTTAATTTTAAAGATTATTCCCAAAAATGCTCATCTTGCTGCCTTTTTTTTTGCCGTGTGATAAGTTACTTTTGGAAGTGCCAAGTTACTTTTTCTTGGTTTTTAGCAAAACCATGGCAGTTTTTAAGAATCCAGAGAGGTTTTTATTTCTGGATTACTTCCTCTAATTGATTATCTAAATAAAATTTGCAATTGCATTGTTAAATACATGGGAAATAGCCACCATTTTTCTTTTCCTAGATTTGAAATAACTGAATTTTAAATGATTGTAAATTGTTAATATTCTGTACATAATCTGTACATTCTCCTTGCTACTGGCTTTTCTTACAGGATAGAAATTAATAAACATAATTCTAAAAAAAAAAATTTCAGCAGAAACTTTTCTGCAATAATAGGCACGGAAGTTATGGTACTCCCAACATAATGTGTTACTAATCAGTCTGCCTTGACATATTGAGGGTAGTAACTTTGTACATGATGGTTTATGCAAACTGTAATTATTATACATACAAGTTTGTCAAAGACAAGCTATGCTAATAGTGACAGCATATTGAAAGCGAGATTACTTTCTATACTTTCTTAAAAGGTCTTGTAAAACCTCTTTGTGACAGAACCAGATTTACTGCTGTTTCAGGACTGATGTAGCTGATCTAGAGAGCATTTCATTTAGGTATTGAGAATTCTTTTCTATGCTATATACTAAAAAGGGATTATCTTCTGCAGCATTTACCTGAAGTGCCGTGGGCTATGTTTATAGGGGCTATCTGCAGTGTTTTGCCACACAGATACCATTTTAGTTGTCAGTTTTCTTGTATGCAAGCATAGTCATGCAGAAGAACCTTTAGACAACATTTGCTGCATGAACCAAATGTGAAGATCAAAAAGGCTTTGTTTTGTTATTTAAAGAGTGTTTGATGAAAGAAGCTGGCATTGAACAGAAGCATCTGCATGTTTCTGTAGAAATTTTGACATCTGTGCTTTGCTTCCATCCTTCGCAGCAAATGTTCATATTTGCTGAAAAGGTGATTATAAGCAGCTAGGAAGAGAGAATAAAATAGTTGACAATAGTAATGCTCCAACTGAGGGGGTGTACCTCCTAGAAGATGATACTACATTTCAATTTCTTCCTACACTTCTTTGAGGAATAAAAACCAAAAAATTGGTTTGAAAGTAATTTTGGTTTTGTACAGGGAAATGCATTTTTTTTTTCTCTCTTCCTCGTTTAAATACGTGTGCTCATTTAAACACTTAAATAAGAGTTCAAGCACTGTGTGTGTCTAACATGGAATAATACACAGTGCTTTTGCTTTTTTATACTGGCTTCTTAGGCTGATTGAGGTATTGCGAACAGACAGACACACAGAGCCAATTCTTTGGCTAGGCTATGGTGCCATGGTTATGTTAACTTTAAACAATGCATGCCTGTTGAGATCAACTAGGTTCTATCCTAGGTATTTTTACCTAATTGCCTTGATTTCGGAGAACACTGTGTTGTTACGTATCCCTGAGAAATGCTCCTTTTAGAGCTATTACTGTAAAGTAATCACCTGTTTAAGATTGATAAAGGAGCATTTGGGCATAATGTAATACGTCATTTCCAGTGAATATCTATCTTTAATCATTTAATAACGAAATGCTGTCTGCTTTTAAATGTTTAATCAGCAAAGGAAAATTCTCTCTCCCAGGTTGGCACGCACAATATCTGCCAAAGGCAGAAGAACCACATCTCTAGAGATGAAATCTAAAACATCACACTGGCCCCTCATTTTTAAAGGCCAGATTCTTCCCACCCATTGGTATATAGAAAGTACTTGTGTCCCCATGTTGTGTGAATAGGGCTTATAGATACTTATAGAATTATACTTATAGATATTTATAGAATCATAGAATCGTCTAGGTTGGAAAAGACCTTTAAGATCATCGAGTCCAACTGTTAACCTAGCACTGCCAAGTCCACCACTAAACCATGTCCCTAAGCACCACATCTACCCATCTTTTAAATACCTCCGGGGATGGAGCCTCAACCACTCCCCTGGGCAGCCTGTTCCAGTGCCTGACTACCCTTTCGGTGAAGAAGTTTTTCGTAATATCCAACCTAAACCTCCCCTGGCGCAGCTTGAGGTCATTTCCTCTCATCCTGTCGCTTGTTACGTGGGAGAAGAGACTGACCCCCACCTCGCTACAACTTGTGTGGGAGGAGAGAGTGCCCCCCCCCTCTCCACCACCTCTTCTGGTAGTTGTAGAGAGCAATAAGGTCTCCCCTCAGCCTCCTCTTCTCCAGACTAAACAACCCCAGCTCCCTCAGCCGCTCCGCATAGGATTTGTGCTCTGACCCTTCACCAGTTTACTGTAGGCCTGGACTGGGGGAGTAGAGCTGAAGGCTGATCTTGGCATCTCTCTGTCATGGCCAGTGAAGTGAGAGACATGGCTCTATGGCAAAAGTCACCTGCACCGCTCAAACGACTGTGTGTGCCTGGAAACCCTTTGCTGACTGTTCTTAAGAGCAGGATGTTACTGTGTATTGTAAAGCTGGTTTTGTCGTTGAATATTTGCAGTAGGGTAAGGGGTTCTTTTGGTATGTTTGGTTTAGTTTTTCTTCCCTTCCTTTCTTCTCTGTCACCACCATACTAAGAGGAACTAAGGCTACAATTTCACTTGAAGAAAAATTAGGAAACCAACATACAATGAGGAACTCTTCATTTTCAGGAGTACTGTATAGAAATATCATTTCCTTTCACACAGAAGCTATTTCTGAGGACAGAGAAATACACCATCAAAAATGTTAATAGTTTATTTAAATAGTTTTGCTATCACTTTTAGTAGACTATAGTACATCTTTTTAGTTCAGTTGACAAAATGTACATGTACACTTAATATTTCATTTGACGTTTTGACTTGAGAGAATTCATATCTCTCAGGTTTCTGCAGTCTGCACAATTCTGTTTACATGACAAAATTATTTTTTCTGCTGCTGCTTTTGATATAGAAATGGATATTAAGACGTTCCATGTTTTTAAAAACTGAGAAAAATGGAATCGGATAGTGAAATGCTGCCTGTTTCCTAACATAAGACAGCTGACACGTAAAAGACTGAGTGGTTGGTGTACACCAAGTTTTTTCTCATATGCTCTGTCCCCAGTCTTCAGTCAAATTTCTTCTTTCAGTAATGCTTATGACTTTTGTAAAACTTCTTCAACAAAGAAATTGAATCAGGTTAATGTAATCTTGTTTGCTGATATTGAAATGTGAAGTCCGGTATTTTAAGGGCTAATATACATTACTGAGTTAAATCTTTCCTTATTTTTTCTGTTTTGCCACGATTTATCTTTTATATGGAAACACGGTTTAATAACCTAATTTGCTCTGAATAAACTTTGAGTCTGTAAACTTCAGCATATATAATCAGAGCAATCCAGTTTGGTAAGAATGTTATCATAGTGTGTTGAGAAATTTCTGGAAGACATATACAAATAGTATTCACTCCTAAGAAATATCTTTCAGGGTGTATCATTTTACTTTAATGACTCCTGGGAAAGCAATGCTATTCCTTTTTTTTTTTTTTTTTTTGACATCATCAATTGATCTTTATGAATGGCTGTGTCTTGATATAAACATACCATTCCATTGCTTCTTTGGCATGGACCTTGTCATATTTTTATGAATGTACAAAAGAAGTGCCTGGATCTTTTTTTTTTCTTGGAAGCTGTGCTAGAACTGCTTCTATGGGATGCTGAATTTGTGTGGCCTGAGGAGCTGCTTCTGTGTATGCTTAGTAAGCTCTATAGCATCTTTGCTGTAGCATCTGTAAAACCAGTGAAACTACTTTTTCACTCATTCTAGAAAGCATGGAAAACGTTCTTAACTTTATTTGTTGATGGTATGTTATTGCATAGTCACAGTCATAGAGATGGAATTCAACAATTAAATACCATAACAATTAGGTTCGAACATAATTGTTTGTGCTGGATCAATAGGTCCCAGGTATTGTGCCAAATACAATTAGGATTTTTCCTTTGATGGACACATGAGATAAAATCCTTTTCTGAATGTAGAAGGTGAATTAGAGTTATCTAAATCCATTACAAACCTGTCTTTTTGTACTTCAATCTGAAGTAACTCCTGCATAGTGTTTTTGAAAAGATTTAAATTAGATTTTCAAAGTATGGGAGAAATTACAATGTGTGTTTGTTTTAGATGAAGTATATACAATTTAATTTCAAATAGTAAGGTAATTTAAATAATGAGTTCTGATCTAGTTGCCGAGAAGTCTGTTTTCAGGAGTCAGTACTCACAGTACTTTTCTGTTATTTCTAAACTTGAGTCTTCCCTTTGACCAGGTAATGTAGTCTTCTGAGATTTGTCTTAAAGTAGGATTTGAGATGTCTTCCAGCTCAAATTTGTCCTGAAATATATTTATTCCTATCTAGTCCTTGCCACAAGTTCAGATGATGTGTCTTCTTCCCTGTAGCTATATCTCAAAGCTCTAGATGCTTCCTTCATTCTCCACTTTTTAACAGGCAAGGTCTCCAACATGTTGCTATACACATTATTTTTATTTCAGAAATGCTGTTTGATGCATTTTTATCCCAAGACATGTGTTTATTATTTTTTGTTTGTTTTTGAAATACGGAGCTTAGTTTTTCTGTTAATGTTGAGTTTCTTCTAGTTTATGCTATAGCGAAAGCAAAGTTTAATCAACACTTACATTGCTGTAGTGTTTCTTCTGCTATGGTGGATTTGATTGAGTCAGACTTTCTCTTACTTATCTGACAAAGGAAATGAAGAGCAGGAGGTCTCAATATAGAGAGTCTTATGGAAAGTGTGGTGACCTAATTTATAAAATCAGGAAGTTAATAATCTTTCTTAAGTAGCTGCAACAGGTAAGCTGATTAATTGATTCCTCAGATTTTGTCTTGCTGTCTTCATTGTATGTATTGTCCAATCTTATCCACCTACAAAAAAAGCCAGCAGTGAATGACGCGAGCGCTGACTGTATCTATTTGGAGTAAGAATTTTTAGCAACTTGGCTCCACAAAATATCTGCCTGTATGGCATCTGGTTGAATGTTCATTTGCGTTTTCAGGTGCACTACAATGTTGGCAAAAACCTAGCTGACAAAGGAAATCAAAGTGCTGCAATCAAATACTACAGAGAAGCTGTAAGGTATTAAGAATTTTACTGCTCTAATTAACTATCTTAAAATTGCTTTCATGTTTAACACGAAGAAAATGCTTAGGTATTCATTTTCATGGTCTGCAGCATTGCAGAGCTAGCAACTTGCATATAGTAATACATGTCTCATACATAATAATCATCTCTTAAATTTTAAATTTTAGGTTGAATCCTAAATATGTACATGCCATGAACAACCTTGGAAATATTCTGAAAGAAAGAAATGAGCTCCAAGAAGCAGAGGAGTTGCTGTCCTTAGCTGTACAAATACAGTATGTTTAGAACAATGCTAAGCAGTGTTTTGCACCAGCTGAGCAGAAATGATACAATAGGATCTTGTGTTCCAAATGCTCAATTGTCCTCTCTCTTGTTTTTTTTCCCAATTTGCCCAGACCTGATTTTGCTGCTGCATGGATGAATCTAGGAATAGTACAGAACAGTTTAAGAAGGTTTGAAGAGGCAGAGCAAAGCTACTGGACAGCAATTAAACACAGGAAAAAATATCCAGATTGTTACTACAATTTAGGGCGGTTGGTAAGTGCTTTTGAATAAATGATAGCTATGACAGTAATCTCTGTGTGTGTGTGTGTGTGTGTGTGTGTGTGTGTGTGTGTGTGTGTGTGTGAGATTTCATATTTTCAGTAGCTTTTCCTATTGCTTTCCCAGTATAATTCCTCCCATACAACCTTTGGCAGTCCTACCTTTTCATATAAAGAGGTATAAAGAAAAATATAGATGGTGTCCTTTTGTTCAAAAGATATTATATAATCATTTCCCAATATTAGACTGTTTTGCAGTCATTAGTATACTGTAAGGTAGTAGAACTATGCCAAAAATTCCATTTAGATTCTTGGAAATATTTGTATTAAATATTCACTTATGCTCTTGTGTAGACTTCTAAATTGTATGCTGGTTTTCCTCTCTATCCTATTGGTCCAGGCATATTTGAAAACAAGCCTGGGTCTCAGAGAAAAGCTGAGTAAAATTAGTATATAGCACTCTATCTTCCATACTACCCTAGTATTCTTTTTACATTTCTTATTTTTGTCTATAAAAACAAGTTATAATAGAAAGGAATGAAACATTAACAACTCTGTGGTGTCTTTAGTGCGTGGTAGGATAGTAGAGCAAATCAGGGTGACATTACTGAGTTTTTCTTTGTTTTTAGTATGCAGATTTGAATCGCCATATAGATGCATTGAATGCTTGGAGGAATGCTACAGTTCTGAAACCAGAGCATAGTTTGGCTTGGAACAATATGATTATATTGCTTGATAACACAGGTATAAGCCCATTTGAATGTTTTAATGAATAATTCAATGTCTTGCAAAACTTAAAGCTTTATCTGTATTCATCTAAAAGGAGTTCTGCCTCTTCTTCTTTGGCTACCTAGACACTCTCTATAAATATAAGAATACCTTCTGACTCAATGGTTTTAAAGCATCACTTGAAATCCAGTCCATAAATTAAATTTCTGATCCTTATTTGAAATTTGAACTTTTTAATCTGTGCTTTGTTGTTCTTCTGAAAGTGTTATGTGTTGAAAACAAAATGGAGGTTTTCTATTGTCTCTTTCTGCAGGCTTTTACATTTGTGTGTGTGTGATACCTCATTTTCTTTAAAAAATGCATGTAATCAGCTGTTCATACAATATGTGTGCTTGCAGCAGGTACAGTAACTAATAAGGCTGTGTTAAAAGATGTCTTCTCTTTTTCCACTACATGGGCTCCCAGGCAATCTAGCTCAAGCGGAAGCAGTTGGAAGAGAGGCCCTGGAATTAATACCTAATGATCATTCCCTTATGTTTTCATTGGCAAATGTACTGGGGAAATCACAAAAATACAAGGTAGGTAACTAGAGCTTTCCAAGTGTTGGTTGTGTTTTGTTTTGGGTTGTTTTCCTGTTTAAACTCTGTGTAATTTTCTGTAGAAAGTGTTTGAGGAGGTCATTGTGGACTATGACTTAGATAATCAGGTTTCAATGCCCATTTCTGTCACAGTATTGCTGTGTGATTCTGGCCTAAGTTCATCCCACCTTATTTTAGATGCCTGTGTTAGGAATGTTGCTGCCCTAAACTATGTCGGTGGTCAGTGGAGAGAAATAGGCTCTTAGGCACACTAGAGGGCAGTTAGCGTCTTGTATTGCTTCACTGCCGATAGAGCCTGCTCTGATCTAGAGGCCTTGGTTCAGGCACTAAAATTAGGTGTGATATGCTAGTCCTTGTGCTTTTTGTATGTAAAGGTTTACCATTACCCGATATGAATTCCAGCCTCTTTTTCTCAGACACTATCTAAAATAGAGATGTTACAGATTTGCTAATCCCAGATTGAGGATGGGATACCTGGGTAATCCCAGGCTATTATGAGGAAAAAGTTCATATGTTGACCAGTGTATTGAACTTTCTCTTGGATGCAGTGGACCAGCCTGCGAGTGGTACCACAGCATTAGCTACTTAGATTTACAAGTAGTAAATGTAATGGAACTGAGGAGTTATTTTCCGAAAGGAATTGTTTGAGCTGACAGAGAATAAATCATACACAGCTAGTACATTTAGTTGTTTTAATTGACTCCATAGTCACTGGTTTACATATGTGATAGGGACAAATTAATAATCAAGGAAGGTTTTGGTATTCCTCAGAAAAACATCATTTACTGAACTATGGCTTTTGGGGATTTTGATGGCTTTTTGATCATGATAATGTTAGCAGCACTGAAGGAACATTGTCAGTATATGCAAAGTAAGAAGATTTTATTACGTTAAACTTCTCAGAACAGATACATTTTTCCACCAATTACTGTGTCCGCTTAGATTTCTACAGTCCTGTTCAGCTGTGGAGTCATGACCTGTCCCCATGTGAAACCAGGGCCTGTGACAACCCAGCACTTGCTTTTGTTTGTGTTAGTGATGCCCTTAGACATCCCCCCCTCGTTACTGTTTCTCTAGACTGGCTGGAGTTTTTTTCTGGATGCTCTCTTTCTTTTCTCTCTCCACCTGAGACTGTTATAAAATATATATTTTAGGTTACTTTAACAAAGTTCCAGAAGGATACAAAGTAACATCCAGAATGTATAAGGGATGAGATTATGGAGGAGGTAATTGCTAGGATTATTTTGGTGAGTCATGACCATGAAAGAATAGAGGATTGTGTAGTTATTCCTCAAGAAGAGTATGCAGCATGACAGAATAAAGAGCATTTATAATGAAATAAGTAGAAAAAATAAGTTGAAAACAAGCTAGAAAACTTTTCCGGGTGTAGGAGAAACAAGTCTGTCTTAGTGGATTTAAAAAATAAAAAAGGAGGTAGTGATTTTGATTGCTAGCTCTGAAAGGTCATTATGCTGCAGGAGAATGAGTTGGAGACAAAGTAGAAATGATAGTGGGGGAAAATGAAGCTTTCAAGTCAGCATCCTGAGTAAAGCAAAAGGAGCAGTGGAGCCCAGGGAGGAAAGCAGGGAGCCAGTGAGTGTTTTAACTGTTCAATATGGAGTAGCAGGTTTGCATAGAGCAAAAAACTTAACTAGTAACTTGAAATTGATAGGTTGTAACAGGGAGAGCAAATTAAGGGAATTGGAAAGTGGACTCACTTAGAAAAGGTTATGATCTCAGCAGCTATATTTTGCATTGCCTGGAAAGAGGAGCTACAGGGCTTTTTTAAGTCGGAGAATGCTAAATGACAATAAAAAGCATGGAAAATTCAGATTCCTTGTCTACCCCCTCACCATGTAAAAACAGAGAAGTGGATGGCTCTTTAAGGATTTTTATTGAGTGTTCAGGATGGGAAGGGAGGAGGGGGGAGTGGAGACTGTCAAGGTGCTGGAGGTAATTTTCCGAGGGCTGCCTGGCTGTGTCTGATGTGTTGTATAACCTCAGACATTTCATTTATTAGGTTACTTGTTATGTGTCTGTATAAAAGTTGTTACTGTATTGGCTCTGTTGCCGTAAAGTAAGATTTGTTCTGGGTTTTTTTGTTATCTCTTATTTTAAAAGATAAAAAGGTTTTACTATGTTATGAGAGATTTGCTTCCAATCAGCACCCAATATTCTCCTTCAGTTTCAAACGCACTTTGATTTTCAGCAGAAGATGGTTTTCCTAAGTGACCAAAAAAAAAAAAAAACCCAACCCTTTATGATTTCTGTTTGTATCTACTAATGAATGATGTATTGTTCCAGAAACAAAAGCACATCAAGGATGAGCTGTTTGGGTGTTTTTGTTTTTTAATTAACATCTGTTATACCAAGTTAGAGTTCTTTAAATGCTTGTTCTTATCGCAATGGATGAAGAACCAAGCTATCTTTAGTTCTTTGAAAATATATATGTTGTATTTTTGTTACCTATACATGTATGCTTTTTCTGTAAAAAGTACAATAAATCAAAACCATTCAGCATTTTTTGTATTTGAAATAAAGCCAGACAACAATTTTGTGCTGTGGCCTTGGCAGCAGATGGAATGCAGTGTGCTTACCCAAAACCTTTGCTATATGCAGTGTGCAAGTTTCTTGGCAACACTTAAAGATTTGGCAAGATGGAGCAATTTGAAATATCACTGGATGTACTGGAATGTATATTTACTCCATATATCTACAGTAATATGAATATGATCCACCTTAAATGGCCTTTAATCAGCGAGTATGCTTCTACTAGCTGCTGAGCAAAGCAGTGGTGATAAAAATGTTTTCAGCCTGTAGTTGAAGATGTATGGTAATAGCAGCCAACTCTGAGAATCTATTGTCATCAGATTTTCTGGGAACGCATTGCATATGTTGTCCCGTCGTGCTTCAGCAGTGAAAGGATCAGTCCATACATTAGGTGCTTCTGCTTTTTGTAGGTGGCAACTTTTAGGCATGAAACTGAATAAATTGGACAGCACATCTTTCACTTTTGATTGCTGTTAACCTGCCCAGTGAAAAAAGCAGATATTTACTTATTAGACCAAGTTACTAAAATTCGCAGTGGAAAAAAAGACAACTTTGTGGGACTTCTGACTACTACGTGCTTTCAAGTGCCAATCCACTGTTGATTTTTAGGCTTGGATGGTTGTACGAAAAGAGGAGGTTATCTCGCAACACCACTAGACTTGCCAAATGTTTTAGTCTCAATATGTTTCTCAGGTGACTGAGTTAGAATCGTAGAATAATTTTGACTGGAAGAGAGTCCAGAGGTCATCTAGTCCAACCCCTGGCCCAAACCAGGGCCGTCTCTGGTTGAATCTTGAACACCTCTACGGATGGAAATTCTAAAACTTCTCTGGACAGTGTCTTCCAGTGCGTCTTCACTTCATCTTCTCTTCTGAAGGCTGAAGAGATCCCGTTCTTTCAGCTGCTCCTTGTATATCTTGTGCTCCAGCCCCCAACCATCTTGGTGGCTCTCTGCTGGACTTAACTAAAGTATGTCCATGTCTTTCTTGTAATGAAGAGCCCCAGCATGAACACATACTCCAGATGTGGTCTTGCAAGTGCTAAATAGAGAAGGATTACTTCACTGGACCTGCTGGCTGCACTTCTACTTAATACAGCCCAGGATGTGGTTGGTCATCTTTGCTGTGAGGCTACGCTGATGGCTTTTATTCGATTTGCTGTCTACCAGGCCCACCAGATCCATTTCTCTAGAGCTGTTTCCTAGACAGTTGCCCTCCAGCCTGTACTTTTGCATGGGGTTATCCCATCCCAGATACAGCACTTTACATTTGCTCTTGTTGAACTTCACGAGATCCCTGTAGTCCAATCCTGTTCAATATCTTCATTATTGATCCGGATGGTGGGGCAAAGTGCACCCTCAGCAAGTTTGCGGATGGCACAGAACTGGGAGGAGTAGCTGATATGCCAGAGGGTCATGCTGCCATCCAGAGGGACCTAAAGAGGCTGTAGAAATGGGCTGGTGGCAGCCTCATGCAGTTCAACAAGGGGAAGTGCAAAGCCTTGCAGCTGGAGAGGAACAAGCCCAGGCACAGTACGTGCTGGGGGCCACCCAGCTGGAAAGCAGCTTGGCAGAAAAGCACACGAGGGTCCTGGTGGACACCAGATTGATTGAATATGAGTCAGCAACATGCCCTTGTGGCAAAGGCAGCTAATGATATCCTGGGTTGTGTTAGGAGTGTTGCCAGCAGGTTGAAGGAGATGATCCTTCCTCTCTACTGGTGAGGCCACACCTGGAGTTCTGTGTCCAGTTCCCAGGGAGACACGGACATACTGGAGAGAGTCCAGCAAAGGGCCACGAAGATGATGAAGGGACTGGAGCATCGTTCCTATGGGGAAGGGTTGAGAGAGCTGGGACTGTTTAGCCTGGAGAAGAGAAGTCTCAGGGGGAGGATCTCAATGTACGTAAATACCTGAAGGTGCAAAGAGGATGGAGCCAGGGTCTTTTCGGTGGTATTGAGTGACAGGACAGGAAGCAATGGGCCCAAACCAAAACATGGGATGTTTCCCCTGAACATCAAGAAATGCTTTTTTTACTGTGACTGAGCACTGGCACAGGTTGCCCAGAGAGGTTGTGGAGCCTCCATCCTTGGAGATGGTGCCTGGACATGGTCCTGGGCAGCTGGCCCTGCTTGCGCAGGGAGGTTGGACCAGGTGACCTCCAGAGGTCCATTCCAACCTCAACCATTCTGTGATTCCTGCTAGTCCATTTCTCTGTCCTCTCCAGGTCCCTCTGAATAGCAGCTCTCCCTCCAGTGTATTGACCACTCCCTCCTCTTAGGTGCTATCTGTAAAGTTTTTGGAAGTGCATCCAGTCCCATCATCCAACATTAATGAAGACGCTAAATAGTATGGGTTTCAAAGAGACCAGTGCATCCGGGAACACTAATAGTCTGGGTATGAGAATGCCGGAGCTGCTGCCAGGGAAAAGCAATGCTAAAACTTGCACTGTGGAGTCATACACTCCCTAAATTTCCAGACAAAAATTTCCCTTGTTCCCTTCTTCGCCCCTATCCAAGTATTCCTTCTCCTGAAACAGGATGTCCTGCAAAAGCATTTGTCAGGAACCGCTAGGGTTTGTAATTTTCTTGACCTGAGAAAATGAAGGCACTTTCTGCATCAGTCTCCCTTGGCTACAGAGTGGCAGCCTCAGCTGTGCTAAGGAATGCTTTGAAAGGAGCATATAGTTTGGGTTTGAATTTGGACATACTGGGAAGCTGTTAAGTCACTCAAAGTTGAGTGACTCAATCTTGACATCAGAAATGTCTTGTTCCCTGAGGGACCCTTGCAGAGACTTATTTCATGCTTCACGTGAGAAGATGGTGGAACCGAAAATCTGGCTGATAGATTTTCTTTTTCAGTAGAGCCTGTGTTATGTTCTGTGGACATAAGGAATAAAAGCTTAGCACAAAGGAAAGGCCTTTTCCCCAGGTTATTGTTCTCACATACCTCAGCCAGCCAGTATGTGCATTCAGATGGAAGCCTACCACACTGAGGTCATTTTATCTTCAAGTCATTTGCATTGAAACTGAATGGGCAGCTGTCCCTGAAACCAGCACAAATCTATGTAAAATTTGCTCTCTAACATATCTAAACTTGCATGTGAGTGAGTAAATATGCTTCATTTGGATTGGGGGGGGGGTGTGGGGGGGGGGGGGGGGGCTGTATCTTTTTAAACTTCTGCAGGAAATATGCTCTGGAACAAAAATATCTGTATTAGCAGCTAGTTTGGGAAAATAAAAATGTTTGAATTAGAGAATAAATTTAGCAGTAAATTGTTCTCTGAATATTTGGTGAGGGAGCTCAGCTTTTCTAAGAAGCACTCAGATATCAATGGTCCTAAAAGTATGCATCACAAGTGGGAATATGGAAAAGATAACTGTGAGGAAATGTCAGGAATATTTCAGTTGGCTTGATTTTTTAAGTAGCAGGCACTCAGCTGCTCTTCATTGAGAACCATGTTGAAACATCTATTTGAAAGAGGGTTACTGGAATGCCCCCATTTTAAATTCTAAAACCTATTTTAAAGGGAGGGGTGCCTAAAAGCAGTTTGCTCAGATATTGAATTATATTATCCTTAACTTGGTTGAATAAGTAGGGAAAACTTCAGTAGGTAATGTCTGAAAATATTATAACTATGCAAAAAAAAAAAAATTAAGGAAATTGCTTTGCAAACTTCACTAGTGCTTAATAGCTCTCTGCTAAAATAACAGCAGCCTGTGAAAGCAGGGCGCTTATTTGTAGCATTGTTACTGTTTTCTGGGGGCTGTAGCCACCTGAGCTACAGGATCGTACAGGCTTAGAATATATATACAGTGGTATCGTATAGATATGACATAGTTTGGGAGGGGTTTTGTTTGGGAGGGTTTTTAATTACAATCGTGGGTAAATTTTGCATGATCTTATACACTACAAGAGTAGACTGTCCTGTTGACTTGTTCTTCTAAATTATTCAGGAATCTGAAGCTTTGTTCCTCAAGGCAATTAAAGCCAATCCAAATGCTGCCAGTTATCATGGCAATTTGGGTAAGAGCCTTTCTAACTCTTATCAGCTGTATTGTTTGTTTGCTTTATATTTATTGTATTTAAAAAGAAAAAGCAATCTTTTGAGCCTTCTTCCTGCTGGGCAGATTTCTATTTTACTTCCTAGAAAAACTGCCAGCCAGAAGCACAGGCACTAAACCAGAAAAGCTGTCACATGATATGACAGATCAAGGGGGCTGCACAATCCAGCCCATAGGTAGCTGCACTTCATTGTCTGCAAATTGGTTCATTTATGCTATGCTTGTAACCTGCAATGAGCTCACCAGATAAGAGCTGCCATTTATGGCTGCAGTGCAATTCATTCCTTCATCATTCCCATGCCAGTTCTGCTCCCAGGCTTTGCTCCTGCATTTGGCAACAGAACAAGCAGCTACTGTGCCACCAGCCAGTGAGAGACCCTCACTGGAAACAAATGCTTTAATGTTGTTTTCCAAGTGATTGGCAAGGTTGCACGTTATTCAACAATATTGCTAATGAAATTCCTCATTGATGTTCCAGCCGTGCTTTATCATCGCTGGGGAAATCTTGACTTAGCAAAGAAGCACTATGAAGTCTCTCTGAAGCTTGATCCTATGGCACCCGGGACCAAGGAAAACTACAACCTCTTAAGAAGAAAACTGGAGCAATTGCAAAAGAAAGGCGGTGCCTGATGTTTCTTTTCAGGTTGTCCGTGCATGCTGTTTACGATTCATGTTACATGGGTACTTTTGACCATGTAAAGGATTCAGTCGTTATTTCTCAAAAATAATACCACCACCAGCACTGCACACTTATGTCCAATTATGCCCCCCTACAGATCCTAGCATTTCAGCTGCACTTTGGGGGATCACTTTATTTTTACTCTTGAACTGCTTTTAAAGTCCCTTAGAACATTTTTATAGGTATATGAAAGCAATGCAGATGGAGTTTCACAGCTTTCACTTGTAATTTGATATCTTCATCTGACTTTTTAGTAGCAGGATGAATATCAGAAGGCAGTTTTATTTCTGAAAGTGATTCTAAAAAAAGTGCAATTTCCTGTTTAAATCCTGATCTTTTCAAGTGTGAAGAATATTTGTCCACTTCAGTTTTATTACTGCCTTCTACTGCCAGTCCTGCAGAGCCAGTAGAAGAATGGATTCTCTCCAGCACATCAGTCTACTCTTGTAATTTGAGTTACGCCCTTGTTCTTGTTTCTGGCTCCACCCTTCAAAGTGTCAGATTTGTACAGGAGTAAATGAGGACAAGGATTTGACCATAAACTTTTGTCAGACAGTGTACTGCTGAGGTGTGCTGGAGTGGAGAAAATACTCTTAGATTAAGACGGAGATTTTAGCAAGCAGCAAAGGGAAAAGAAGTGTGAGGTGACAAAGGAGTCAGCTAGATTTTCTGTTCTTCCAGGCAGCCTCATCTAGCATAGACAACTTGGGCAACTAGTCAGAATTGCTTTAGCTCCTGCCACAGGTCAGTGGTCTAAATACAGTATAGCATCTGCAGGAGCTAATTCCTGTGTTCTCAGGAGTTTCAGTCCGTTCTGGTTAAGGACATTGCACCTTTCAGCTCCTACATTGTTGGCGAATGAGGAGAGAATCTCTGTTAAAAAAAGTAACTGGGCAGAGCACCTGACCTTGGCTGTTGATGTATTAACTGGAAGGAACTCGGATTCACCTTTGTCCCCCGTGGCTCATGCGTTTGCTGAAGTGGCAGTTAAATAAGCATAGCTGTTAATGCATAAACTGATCGCATGATGTGGGGTGATTCAGAGATGGTACACATTGATACAATGTCACTTTTCAAAATGTGCTGTGCTTTAATACAGGTTTAAACTCTGGCTGTCCAGAGGTGTTTGTCTTGTGCTAATATTTACA